ATTAAGCTAATTGAAACAAAAAAAGGCTAAGTAAGCTTGGCTGTATGTTATTGTATATATGATTACACTAAACTTAGCTTTGAATCCATCTAAATAGTCAACTATGGCTTTGTTCAAAAAAAAGTTTAATTTAAATCAATGTTCTGATGCACAAAGCTTAGAGAGTCACTTACAGTTTTATCGTGGGGTAACCTCGAACACCGAACTCTGACGCCATTCCTGCAAAATAGAAAAAATATATAGCATCTCAAACGAAAATATATTATTATACTGAGAACCATCTTTCTCTTCAAAAGGTTTGGAAGTTATCCTGTTTTCATCTTCTCACGGGGTTGAAATAACTTCTCTAATTAAGATTCAGCGACTGAGTTGGATCAGGAAGTGGATGGAAAATTTGAATCTTCGGGATTTGAGCCCATTTGTTTGCCAATAACAAGATGAGTCAATTTATAGCACTCTCACGTAGCTACAGAAATGTTGGAGCCAAGCTAAACTAAGCTAATGGCTAAGTTAAAATGACATAAATAAATGAGGATTATATCAATGTCTCATAAGCATATTTCCCCAAAAACTGAACTATTCTTTTTAAAAGCCCCATAGATTATACAATTTCTTTTTCCATTTTTAATTTATTCTAGTCCTGTTTCAAATGTTAGTCTTTTGTCATATATAGTCAACCTTATCCTGTGTTTATTAGGCACTTAATGATACTGTTCGCTAGTGCTGCTCAATTAATCGTATTTTAATCTCAATTACGATTTTGGCTTGCAATGGTTATGAAAACAACATAATCGAAATAAAACGATTATTTATTTTATTTTTAAAAACATTATTGGTTTTTCAGTTGAATTATACTTAGAGTTCAGGGTAATCAACTGTTAAAAACATACTGTTCACATTTTCTTTCCCAATAAATGGATATTTTCAAAGTAAATGGATAATCGTTTTTAATAATCGTGATATCAATTATTGACCCAAATAATCGAGATTATGATATTTGCCATAATCGAGCAGCCCTACTGTTCACTTATTGACAGGTAATTAACACGAGTATCTATGGATTATTCCAGTCAGCACATTTTGATGCAATTTATCTTAAAGTGTACTCACAACATTAATATTTTCCTGCATGGGTTAGGGTTAACAATAATATTGACATATCATGGTAATGTCACTATGAAATGAAATCTTCTTTATGTTGGTTTAAAATAAGACCTGACCTGAGCTTTTAACATTCATCATCATGTTGTTGAACAACACTGTCAATTAGTTTGATCTATATCTGTCTCCAGCACATGAAATATTCACCTGGGGACTAACAGTCTCCTAGGGAAGACCTTGAGGTGCTTTATCGTCTACTCACCAGAGTAAGCCGTAGCATCCATCTTTCCCACGCGGACCGGCGATCCGGAGCTCTTCAGTTCTGCTCCCACATCGTACCACACCGGCTCCAGCTTTTTACAGTATCCACACCATGGGGCATAGAACTGAAAATAACAAATAGGAAGACAACTTTAAAATAATGTAAACATGTTATGTTATATCATGCAAACTATAACATCATCTATGTGGTAAATAACCAAATCTGCATTATATTCACATATGTATTTGTGTGCCTTATTGTGCCACTTAATTTTGATCCTGTGCGCTAGGCCAGCCAAGGTCTTTTTGAACAAACCCGCTTCCAATTAATCTAACACAAGGGATAATTCACATTGACCTTACTTTGTTTTTGTTTTGCTTTATATGACCTCGCAGTGATTTAAGAGCTTCCTAAGTGCTGTGTTGTTGCCCCTATTGTACTTTTAAAAACAATGATATTGAGTATGACCTCAAGAATAGATTAAATGGAATAAACGACAACACTGCAAACTTAAATAATGGTCACACTACTGCTAATAGAGACCAAATGAAGGGCTACCTAAGACCCGCAACAAATCATTTATTGGTGATAAGTTGTGCACATCATTTACTTATTGTCGTGGCAAATTATCATATAATCATTTAAAACATTATCAGTTTCTCTTAAGAATTTCCTCCACACTTATCATATCCTTAGAATTGTATAGTGCAAACTTGTCAACAGTTACTTATTTTACATATCCGGAACTTATTGAGTAACATTTTATTCATTTAGAGTGATGTTTATTTCCTCCTGGTAAATACAAGTCCAAATCTCTACTCTATGTTTAGCTCAGTTTTGGTCTACACCACCTCCTAGTAGTGTATCATTTGTTTATTTAGAATTTATTCTGATCTGTGGAGTCTGCTAATAAAAATGATAAGTATAATTTTGAGTTAATCACTGAAAACGACATAGTGGAGCTTTCAAAATATACATACAGTAAGTAACTTTCAGTAATTCAGGTTATATATTATATAACATTTGATCAGTTCAATGGAATGTCTTAATTCCCCAAAAAATATTTGAGTTGAATATATTCCATGACTGCTCAGTTCTGAACACAGTGTATGAGAAACAGTAACCATTTCACACAGTATTCAAAGGCATAAGGACTCACTCCTGCAACTCAAACTAGTAGTGAAGGCAGCTTTGAGTGCTCAAACTTGATTTGCTTGAATGGTAACATACACAAACTCTGATATAAAGCCCTCCGAGCCCCCTGGCTTTGCCCGGCATGCATGACTTCTCATTCTCTAATCACAAATCCAGAGGACAGTCTGCACCCCCCCTCCGGCCCCCGCCCGCCTACCCCGACTGCTGCCACTTCCGCAAGGGATGATCCCGGCAGCGTTGTGCTGGATATGAAGTAAAGCATAGCTGAATGGACCCAGACTGTCTGTCTGTGTGTGTGTGTGTGTGTGTGTGTGTGTGTGTGTGTGTGTGTGTGTGTGTGTGTGTGTGTGTGTGTGTGTGTCAGACTCACATCTACCAGCCAGACATCGCTCACTCTGGTGTCCTTAAATCTGTCCAAAAAGAAGAATAAATCAAAGTGACATAAAGTGAACTACATGCTATTTTCTGTAAACTCATATTATAAGGTGTGTGCTACATGTCAAACATACACATAATAAAGACCCAGTGGAAGAATTGATATTCAAACATGTGAATATGAGGGTCATTGTTCGTTAAAAGTAAAAGAAGACCCTTCAACTTCATAAAAGAGATTAAAAAAACACAAATACACAAGGGACAAAATCTCTACAGACATCCACAAGCATCCAATTAAAATGCAACTGGAAACCTGAGATGAAATCAAGATTACCCCCTTTAAATTGTAATTATGTAGCCCTTTGTTAACCCCTTCAAATATGGGTAAAATTGCATACAATCAAAAATGCACAAACTCCTCTAATAGAGAAGAAGTAAGCATCAAACGTAACTGTGATTTGCACCCACATGATGGCTATAGCACGTTATCATGTCACAGTAGCAGGAAGGTGAAATATAGGCAGAGGAGTGCATCACTTACGTGTCATCTAGATCTTCAACAAATGCAATCACCGCTGAAGCCAGAAAAGCCGCGATAACTGCAACATTGAGACATACATTAAATCACACAAACGACATGTCATATTAACGTAACAACATCTTTACAGTCTCTATTGTCCAGCCCACCAGCCTGAAACCTCATGACTGAAGCATCACCAGCTAAAGCTCGTCCCAGCTAACTGAGCATCATTTCCCCTTCGTTTCGACAACTGGAGCTTTAGAGGTTCTATTAACAGATGCAGTGGTTACATGTTTAATTTAGCGTTGAATGTAAATGAATAAAAAAGTGAACGTACCGCCACAAATTAGGGAAGCTTTCACTTCTGCCATTGCTTCGAGTGGAAACAGCAGCAAGCAGGAAATACAGCTGCTAAATGTAGCCGGACTGCGCATGTGCGGGGTTACGCAGGCTCACAACAGCTTCAGGACCTAACGGCTGCTTTTTATTTATTGTTTATTTAAAAATGATACACATAAAACTGGATCCGTGTATTTTGTTTACCATTGTTTTCCTGTTAGATGTTGTCAGAATCCGCACTCAACATGAAAGCCAAATAAAAATATCGTAATGTGCAAATAATAGTTGCTTCTTTTTTAAATTCACGTTATATTTATCAGGCAATTAAACTGCATTTAACTAAGGTTATGATACTGCCGGTAATAGCGAATACTCACCACAAGGTGGCGATCTAATAAAATGAATACAGGCAACAGTCCAACACTTCCTGTAGGCCAAAGTATCATAAAGTACTGCATTCAAAGTTATAATTGAAGTATTATCAGTAATGTGCTATTTATGTAGTATTACTCCTATATCCTTAATTTACAATACCTGGCCCCAGGTTTAGGAATTTGCAGCATGTAATTATAATAGGAAATAATAAATTACCAAATTTGATCAAATGAAAAGATAATATTTTCCAAGACTCATTGACATATTGTTGTGTATTATACTTCATAAGTTGATCATATGTTTTGAATATAAAATATGTATCTGTAACGTTACTGTCAGGTAGATTTTGTGAAATAATTCCCTCTAAAGTAGAAAATAAGCAAAAAATGGTGATACAGGTGCCTTGAAATGTAATAAAACACAGTATATCGAAAAATGGATTATCATCAAGATTGTTTGTGCAAAGTATCACATGAACTTTGATTTTATTGGAAACATATTTATTTTGACACATTTTGAGAATAATATTTTTTGAATTACTTTAAAGTTATAAACAATGTTACTACATAATCTTCATATTCCAAAGGATAGTTTTATCTTTATTGTATTCTTATATGCACGAACATATCTCACATCACACGAGCACATAAAAAAGAAATGACAAGGCATTGAATGGTTAGCTTCACAGAGTGTACTGGATTTTACAAAATAAATAAACATCTTGGTGTAATATTATTGGTATGATGGCCATGTTGATATGCTTCATAAATCGGCCGAGTACCGTAAGTCATAACATCACAGAGACTTCAGCAGAATTAGAAAGCATTAGTTCAGCCTGCAAAGGGTTTTAAGATAGACAGAGGTCTTGATAGATATTTTAACTTTAATATGAAATAATGCATCATTGAATAAACATCAAGCAGTTCTTGAAAAGAGAGAACATTGGTAACATTTATATCGGAGATTCCGGTTTATTTTTATTGTATCATATTAATCTACACCATTATGTGTGGTGGAACTTTTCAACAGACATTTTATATATCTAAAGAACATCCGCCAACTCAAAATGTCATTCTTGGGAAAAAGAGAGAACCAAAAAGAAGCGTGAAATAGTTTCCCCCCCGTGAGAAAGAGCTGTACTTTCTCATGGGGGGAATGGTGGTCATGACTGTGTTACTAAATAGACTCATGTGGAGGACCGTCCTGTTGAAGCCCTGTGTGCCAAGTTTGTGAGGGTTGAATGCTTTTTGTATTTAGAGGGGCAAGAGGGTGGACCCAAGCTGTTAGCCCACATTGTTAAGCCACAATGACTTCTGCACTGACAAAACAATGAATATAGATGGGCTTCCTTACAGCTAACCCTACACAAATATACACACTAATTTGCATTAAACACAAATAAAGCTCCACAGTTAAATAAAACATACAAAAAACATGATTTTGTATCAAGTGTTTGATCACTTGACACAACTTTTCTATCCAAAGCCTTAGTACAGCAAGGTTGTTTGTGTTCTTAAGATAAAGAAAGGACTTGTTCCTCCATTGCAGACCGAGCTGTAAACTCCCACATTCAGAAAGACTGCAGTCAGCTTTCCGACTGAACCCACACACGTCATCTTACAGAACGGTGCATATGACCACAAGTGACCTATGAAACAAAGCTTTCTTTGCCCCATGTCATCACTCATCACATGGCAACACCAGCAGTGACATGATTGAGTTGTCCACATAATGGCAACACTCATTCACCGCTCTGATACATATAATTATTTATTTATTAACATAAAATCAGCAACGTGACAAAACAATTTACAAACACACATTACAACTTATTATTCAGATAAACCTTCATAAAATAACCTCACAGAAATCCAAAAAGGCAGCCTTAAGTTGTCACTTTGGAAAGTTGTAACAAAAATATGACAATTAATATTATTTTATATTCCTTAATTTACCAGCACGTTTTTTTAATTAACAGAAATGCTTTAGTTAGACGAAATATGCACCTATGAATTATATTATTTTATCCTCTCAGGCCAAAGAACTCCATATAACAGCATCTGAACAGAAATCACATAATTCATTTTAAACTGGTATTTAATAAACGAAAAAAGTCCCTAAACGCTGTTGGCATAAACACATATCATACACAAAGCTTACTCCCACAAGAAAAACAAAACTGGTTAAAACTGAGAAAACACATCCGGGAGCAATTTAAATAAGACAATAGTCTCTGAAGATCAGTCACATATATCCTGGCAAAAAGATAAAACAACTGAGATAGAAAAACAAACTGCTGGTTGATTCAGCTACATTTTTAAGTAACAGCAAAGGGTCCAATACTGTACTTTTTTCTAAATGTGGTTGCTGTGTGGCGATGTCTGCTCAGGTTTCAGTCACACATTCCAAACCCCATACAATGATGTATTTGGGGAATCCTTTTGAAGTCGTCCAGCTGCACATTTTGAAACCTCTCCAGCTGTTAGCATCTGCCTCGGGACTGAAGGACCACCATTGTTGCTGCCACAGGTTGTGTTACAACACCTGAAGCCAGAATAAAGACAATCCTGTCATGTTTCTTCTTGACACACTGAATGAGGCACACTGGTGATGCTTAAAGCGGACAAAGTGGCATTTCTTCCAATATTTTTTCTGCCGACTCAAAAATCCGCTACGAGAAAGTCTACCGTTTGAAAGGATAAGCAGCATTCACTTGGAGCAGCTATGTGCAGCGTTGCATAGCCCAGGTTCCATTTAAGAGTACATATTCCTCAATGATCAGATGTCTATCAACAGGTAGTTCATTCCAGGATGTCTGTTTCAAATGGAACCAGATGGTAGTAGGAAAGGTTGGTGACATATGCTTCTGTGTCCTCATCACACAAATCTGCTTCCATCGACAAAAACTCTGTTCCATCCTCATACCTGGCAAAAAAATAAAAAGATGCGTTACTCCAATGATAAGAAACACTTCTAGGTTTATAAATAGGAATCAAAAGTGTGATGTATTGCCATTTTCTATTGCTGACATCAACCCTTAAAGATTTTATTTGCTAGTCAAGTAGGAATTTCAGATATTTAAGAGTTATGTAAGGCATTGTTTTTCATTGTGCACCAAGAGCAATCAGTTCCTCTTTTGCTTCCTACACACACACCCAGGGAAGGAAGAGGTGCACAGACACACTTCCTGTTGAGGCGGAGGGTCAGAGGTTGGGTCATATCCGAAGACTTCTACATTCACACTTACTAAACACTCAAGAGCCAACATGGAAACCTTTTTTTGTAAAAAACAAGCAGCTTGATTGATAGATTTAATGAATGTTTGAAATTAATGGAGCCAATATTAGAGAGTATTCTATGAAAAAGCCAATATGATAGGGACTGGACTGAGACACTGACAGAATATTAAAATATCTTAACACTCACGTATGTTCCACTGAGTCTGTGGATGAGGGTCTCTCTTTTTCTTCAGGGAGACTGTGATCAAACACAATGGTTTCTGTATTGGCCAGACAGAATCCATTGGACTGCATGATTTCTAAAAAGGCACAGAGTGTTGTTTGAGTTACATTAGGAATGTCAACAGGCGCTCCATCTTTTTTCCTAGAAGAAATACAAGATACCTGATATTGTGATTGGACTCTGAAAGCATGGCTGGATTCTGTGGACTTTGTCGTTCCTCAGCACCTGGTCCAGCGGCGATCGCTCAAAGAAAGTCAACATCACCTCTGACCTTGCATACTAGGGAGCCAGGATATTAGCATTTTAGCATACAGTTCACATCATTGAAAAAATGTAATACCATTGTTTTACATGTTGCAGTCAGTCAGAATGTATTATTCACCAAGACCAACCTTGCATGGCATGTTGATGGCATTCTTCAGTAGTCTTTCGACCTCATTCAATTTCTCCTCAATGTCGTTGGCCTCTTTGATTTTCACCAGCCCTAAAACAAATAAATAATATATTTAAAGTCTCCATTTTGAGGATTTCAAAACCAGTTTTCTCCATCCACCAGGGCATTTATATAATTCAACACAACAAATCTAGAATTAATCCAATCTTTGTGAAACTAAAAACCTTCAGAATTTGGTGTTATAATGTCAGTGTTCAGTATCAAAAGTATGGTCTTTTTGTGTCATGTTTTTTCCGACCCCCAAACATATTTCACTGCAGCATAAATAGATACAAAAAAATACTGTTTCGCTATCAAAATGTTAAGTGTTACTTTTTTCTGTGTGATGAAATACAGTAGGGCAGCTGCTTTGACCTTTATTGCCACCAGACGGTTCTCTTACCACTCAAAAAGCCAGACCAATGTCCAATGTTATCCCTAGTCTTGAAAAAGGTTGCCTCAAATGTGAGTGAAAAGGCAGTAGCCTGTTTAATGCAATAACTTGTAACAATGCCCCATGATATTTACCCATGAGGGTAAAAATAGACTTTTCATCATTGTCTTTTCAACATGGAAACAGTGCGTCACTGTAAAACTGTAGTGTTATTGCAAACATTCAGCAGACATATAACAGAGGAAAGTAATAACAGTGCTAGAGAAAAGAGCAACAATATAAACTATTCATCCTACATATCACTAGGAATGCAATTTAAGAAGCAGTAGGGAGTGTAAAATCAGCCCTTTAAGCAACTAAAGACTGCCGCCCATGTTAGCAGGCAGTCAGCAAAGCAACATTTTTACTGCCTTGCTGACAAAGGGATGTGGTGAGGAGAATAATGATGAAGACTGCAGCCACACTGATGAGTCTCTGTCTGATGTAAGTGGTACAGGAACATAGTCACACAGCGGTTAGTGTTACATGGAGGTTCTGAGTAAGAGAGCCTAAAGCATCACTGTGCACAGTCACCGTCTCATCCATCTATTATGGCCAGCAGTGATGACATCATACCCAGGGGGATGTGAAGAGTGATTGGGCAGTTAAATCATCACTAGGAACCAAGTGAGACTCCTACCCAGTCTGAGACTCAAACTGCCTCCGGATCATGTTCTTTTATCCTTTAAACCCCTTTGTCAGTTTTCTCTGTAAATGTGACAAATCAAACAAGTAAAGGGCTTATTATGGTGTTGTTCTGTCAAGATTGAGACATAACAGTAATTCAGTTTAAGGCGAATACAAACAAATATTTTCTTACTAATGCTTTTTGGATTTAAAAGATTATTTAATATGGTAAACATATTGAGCAGATCATTTGTTGGTTTATCCACATAATTTGAATTGGTGTAAGTAACTATAGTGCCATTAAATAAAGGCAATTGCACAGAAATTCAAACTGGACAGCATGGAAATGATCAGAAAACATTACATTAGTTGAATTCATGTTTTTACAGTGCATGCTATTTTGTGAAATGGTTGATTCTCGGGGGTTGATACAGATAATTAAAAGCAGTTAACATCTCAAACGGAAACAAAGCCTGGATGATAACATGACTGCAGGGACTTTAAACCACACCCAGTCTCATCAGCTGTTCCTTGTAAACAGATTGGAAAGTCTACGTCCTGCCGTTTAGGGCACTAATGTTTCCAATCAACTGCACATTATTTATTATGAAGGGCAGGCACACAGCACACCAGGGTGCAGATAGAAACAGGGAAGGGAGTGTTAGGGACTGATAACAATCATCACAAGTGCTCTCAATCCCCTAAAAAGCAGTTCTCTCATGGTTATAGTATAAAGGGAAGGCCAGAGGAGCTTGTCCCTTGTGTTGGACTCAGAAAATATTTAGCAGCCTATATGCCTTAGCAGCTGGTGCCTAAGATATATTTTACATTTAAAATTCATCACCAGTCACATATGAATTCATAAATACTACTGTAAGCATATATTTAAAAAAAAAGAGTGGATTCAGAAATGAAGTCTATAGCATTGTTAATATAATTAGGCAAAGCATGGTGTGTGCTATTATGCGACTGTTTCATGTGCAAAAGAGAAGTATGCAAGTTTGTTTTTGCCACAGCTTGGTGTTGGTTGCCCAATATTAAATGGTGCTAACCACAGTGGATCTGGTGTGTGTCGCTGCAACTTGGTGTTGTTCTTCTCTATAATTAGAAACAGCAAATTGACACATACCTGCTGCCATCAGAACAAGAAAAATTATCTTAAAACTGCTAAAAGACTTTAAAATGCTGAAAATCTGATATTAATCTTTACTTTGTCTTCCTAGACCAACCTTACTGTGTCTCTTCAGGTTGAAAATCTATTATTAAAGTGGAACGGTGAAAAACAGTGGTTTGTGTGATCTTGGAGAGGTTAATGTGGGTTACATCCATTAACTAAAGTGTAAGAAAAGGCACACAACCTGCAAAGGATACAAGCAGGAGGGCGTCCCAAAATGCAGCTAATCTTGACACCAAAATAGCAGCGCGCCACTGAACTGACAGTGACACCCCTCCTACTGTGCCTCTTCTCCCACTGTGGCAACAGACACAGGCAAAGGAAAAAACAACTCTAAAATCTAGGAAATGGTTTCATCTTTCCCCTCATTTTAATCCCTCTATTCCACCATTTTATATGTTCAACACAGAATGCAGCTCTGTTTTTTCCTGCTAAGTTCCCCAAGTGTATTTCCTCCAATTTCCTGTCAAATTGTCTATTTCCTGCATGCTTGGCTTTCTCCTTGCTACAGTGTCCTTCTTTCTTCGACTATTCATTCAGCCCCCAGTAGGTCTTATTGTTTATGGCCTTCAGTCTTAGTTATCTTATGTTTTGGAGATAAGCAGTCTTCATGTGCCTTGTGCAACAAGTTCATAACATGTATTGATAACAGTAACTACATAGAGAAATGTTGGTGTATGTCCCCGTCTCTTACTTTTTGTAATTGCACACTGTTATTTCTGTGACAGCATGCCGTGTTGATAAGCCACTTCACCTATTAGCTGAAATAACACAGTAGAAGTAGATGGAACATGACTGTCGAACACATTATCTAAGCAGTCATCAGATGTTGTAAGCACCAGCTATTTCACAGCTATCCTCTGCATGGATCTGATAAGCACAAGTCAGCAGCCGAACGTTTTATCATCTAACCGCTAACTCTCCGCTGTTTCGTCAACGTGTTATTTCTAGCGGCTTAGTCAACAGAGGACATCCAACCTCAAACATCCAATTTCAATGTGTCCAAAATGGCTACCTAGTGCACCATATTGACTGAAGGACATTTCATTTCAGCTTCCATATTCTGACAGTAAAATCAATGCTATTCTGCAACGACTAATTTCCAAAAAACTTTCACGAGTAATAACATCTAAACGTTAGTTCTTCACTTACTTTATCAACCAATATTCCACATTTAAGGGTTAAAGAAGAACATGTATACCATTCTTATTTGTTAAATTTAACTAGTCAGTAACTTACAACTTAAACGATTTTTGCAATGATTTTGATTAATCTCTACAACAATGTGTGACATGTAAAATAGATACATTGCAGTTTTAACGGTAGGGACTATTTTTATTTTAATACTTTTAAATTGTTCACTTTAGTGATGCTGTTGGACATACATATTTTGTTATGTACCGGCAGAGCCAGGATTGGTGTTTTACACATGTTTTCATTCTTTGTGCTAAGCTAGCTGGCTGTACATTCATTTTTAATTAACAGATATGAGCGCTGTATCTATATTCTCATCTAACCCCAAGTAGCAAGCAGATATATTTATTTCCAAAATTGTTATACTATAAACACACATTATATGGTCAGTTCCAACTATTCAATAACTATGTCAACAAGGAAGGACAAATATAGTGTCTATACTACAAAAAACATAATCCAATGCCCCAAAGATGTAACTCGGCGCTACTAAGCATCCAAGAGCAAACTATTCAATATTTACTATGAAGGGATTAGTGAACGAGTGTAAGAGGAAGTGATTTCGGACACAATAATATGATTCTTGGGTGGAATCTCTCTCACAAGGAATGTGAGCAATCACTTCCTGCCTGTGTTCACTCCGGGGTCACATGAAAGGTAAGTGTTATGGGGCCTTTGCAGTCCACAGGGACCAAATATGGGAAGTCCACTCCTCTCTCCCTCTCTCTCTCGTCATGACATCAGTCTGAGAGCTCTGCACGCCTGCCTTGTTGCTTAGACGCAGCACAGAAACATGAAAACATGAGCGGAGCCAGAAACTGGAGCAAAGTGGACTGAGAAAGGCCACAGTTACACTTTTTCACAGCTTTCAGTCCAAGTGGCAATTATAGGGGATGCAAATGAAATATTGAGAGGTAGGAATTAAAGAAAGGCCATTAGAGGAATTTTATTATCCCTGTGGCTTGCTATCCATCCATGAAATTGTAAAGCCAGCTTGAAGGAACACTGATGTCTCTTTCAGTGCTGATGTCACAACTCCATTTATCTTTTAGCTGTAAAGGGTAAAAAAAAAAAAAGAAGTTAAAAAAGTGAGTCAGTAAAATGTCTCTTCCCTAAATGCACTGCAGACTGCAGCAATAGAGCAGCTAGCTGTCAACAAGCTTCTCAGCTATTTCAGTGCGCGGGCAGGAAGTGGAGCGTTCCAGTCGCCACTAAAGGGATGTTTCCAAAATGTTTGTAGAGACTCAGTGCGTAGAGACAAAAGAAAAGTGCCAAGGAACGAGAAGAAGTCTGGAGCTCTGCCAAACCTGTTGGCAGTGCCACAGTGCTACAGTGTCAAATATCCAGACCCTTAGGGCCAGAGGTTTAGGCTAATTAAGCAAAAGACTGCCCTCTTAAAAAGCCCTGAAGCATTGCTGTAGAAGATGTCACAGCGCCTTTTCATAAATAAATACTTTTCGACCTGTCAATCAATTTATTTTTCATGGATGGTTAATGATTCTGAATGTTTTAACATGTTCAAAGCAATACAGCTTTTGCTGATTTTTGTTTGAAAACCAAATCAGCCATCTTAACTTAATATTTAATTACAAAAGCATTTTGACAAATATAAACTGAATGTTTCGATCACATTAGGGGGGGAAATGCAATTCTAAAGTGTCAACTCTTTCAAGACAGCCACAAAAACTGACACCTTTCAGCTGGGTATTTTAGCCCTGGTCATTTCTCTGTGAAGCTCAAAGTTCTCCCTGTGTGTGTTTGGGTTTACTCCCACAGCGAGATCTGTGATTGCCTTAGATCAATGCACAACTGAGGTTGGTTCCTAGGCGTCAGATAATAGCTGCTCAGACATCCCAGCAACATCCATTCTTCCTAAATAGTGGTCATGTGTCAGATGCAGAGAGCAAATATTAACATGGAAGTCAGTGTTGGTTCTTTTGATATTCTCCCATAGAACTTTTAAGCCACAAAGAAGTGAAAGCAGCCTTTTAGCTCATAAATATTGACATTAGATACATGCTCTCAGTTTGTTGGTTTTGTGGTTTCAGGGCTATGTGATCGGTCTCCTAATGTGACACCCAACAGTGGACTCTGTTAAATATTACCCTGTCCAAACAAAAGCATGTAAACCTAATCTATGATGCGCTTCATTTTGGATTAGCTCCAAACACTTATTGATCTTGTTGACAATGTTTTCCTGCTTTTTTTTGCTGCCCTAAACATATTATTGAAATAATCTTAGTTAATGTTTTAACTAAGATGATTTCATGAAATAATGTGAGATTTTTAGGTATGACGTCTCCCTTTCTTTACAATATATAGGGGCAAAAAAGTAATGTTGCCCTAAAATGAAAGTCAACTATATTATCATTCTGGTCATGGATTACAATTTCTTAAATCCATTAGGCACTTTGTTATTAGTTATTTTAGAGTTTCTTATTTCCAAGAAACTTAGAAGCACAATACTTAAAGTTGTGCTTTTGGATGATGTTTAGGAGCAATTCAGTTGTTACATTTCAAATATTATCCTAAAGATATAGGCACTGTCTTAAGTTTAATTTTTTTAGGATTTAAGTGATGAGCTATCAATCTGAAAATACCACCAATGATACTAAAAATCTTAATAGTTAAGTATTTAATAAAGCACAGCTGGCAAATAGTTGTGCATTCTGGCTTCTCAATTGTTAGTTGCTGCTAAAAAATTAAAAAGTGCAGAAATTGAGGGGGTCAAAGCCCTCTACTGCGCATTTGGCCCCCCAATTTAAGGGATACGCCCCTGATCAGAATTTAACCATTAAAAAGTAAACTAATGTCACATTATTTCTGATTCCATGTTACTGTATTAAATGCTCACTTCCTGCCATACAACTATCCCATTCCCATCAGACCAACCTTCTATGAGCGGAGACTTGGAGAGGTCTCTTATGTCCTCAGGAAAGGACTCCAGCAGTCTCCTAAACAGCCGCCCCAGATCGGAATAACTCCGATGCAAGTATAAAATGTTCCTGTCAGACCACTCCGTCCTTATCTCGAAGAACTCCTCTTCCTCTCCCCGCTGGCTGATGATCAGTCTGCGGATCCCGTTGACCCAACAGTCTCGGACAAACATGTTGACCAGCGACGTGCCTTCAAACACAGCCGATGCCATTCCTCAGACGTCAGTCCAGCATACTGGGGCGGGCCGGGGGACAGCACGCTGGGGGAAGAAGGATTCGATACAACAGAAGATTTGAAAAATAAAGAAATTCAGCCAAAGAAGAAGTAAAGACAACTCCGGTAACTTTTCGGTCTGCGCGCACTGACAGCTGTTGTGTTTACGCACAGTGGGAGGATGTGCTGCTCAGCCCATCACAGGCAAACGTGGCATGATCTGAAAACATAGACTTTTGTCATAGATACCGCCCCCACAAAATGGATTTGTCCATCGATCAGTTTGGCAAAATAAAGTCCAAAGAAGATCTCTCAAAGTATAAAGTGCTGCTCAGTGCTCCCTCCTCCAGTCTGCCGTTAGTTTCCTAAATCCAGAGCATGTCACTTCACTCTGTCTGGGTAAGCTTTTCTTTCAGTTTCCTCCCCTCTCCTTCCTCCCTCCCTTCCTCCTTCCTTGACAACAGGGTATTATCATGCAAAGAATGCAAAGGGCTGCAAAGACAACACTGTCAATCTCCTTATTCATGGAATAAATAGCTTATTAGGCCCTTTTCCTTTTCAGTTTTGTTTTTCTGGATTTGACGCCATTTGCCACGTCTTTCCACAAATCAGCAATCTTGAAATGATATGTTTGGAAAAGACCACAGGGAAATAACATCAACGCCTCAAATACAGCAGATTTTGGCCAATATAAACATTTGCCTTTGCAATATTTTCCATTTCTGATCATGTCAAAATACCATGTAGTTTAGCCAATAGCTACAGCAATGCATTTAGCATATTATTTGTCCTGGAAAAGATCTTCTCTGAATTGCTCCTTTGCGTTGCACTTTTTTCAGTAAGAGCTTTACAGGAAGTTGTGGCTAAGTCGACTAATGACGATTCAGCTGCAATTAACTGTACTGTCTGCAAACAGTTCTGGTAAATACAATTCATAAAATACAGTAGAGGAAAAAGCATTGTCATTGAAATTAATGCAAGCTGAAAAATACTTATTAGTGGACAGACACAAATGCATATAGGAAATCTCGGAACACTGAACATTGTAGCCTACTGTTGAGATCTGAAAAAGCTATTATTCTATAACGTGCACATAACATTTTATGAGACACAGCACAAGACTTGATGCTATAGTCTTGATCCATGCCTCCTTTGAGCTCGCAATTGCACCTTTGTGAGTTTTTCGGTCTTGTTATGGCAAATGTGAAGGCTTGAAAGATTGTGATGCAGCCAGTGAGGAAAGTATACATTTCCAATTTGCAAAACTGTCCAAAGAGCTGTCCTTCACATGCAACAGTTTCATATTCAGCTGTTCAATTCCTTGTTACGCTGCAGTGAGGGAAAATATGGCATGGTGATGCGGGAAAACAGGTGGCCACAGTAGGGAAAATCTATCAATTATAATGGAAATATTCTGAAAATGTAGACTTAGTAAGAAATTCCTGCATATGTTGTCTCAGTATTATACTGTACTTTTCAGTTTTATCAATAAGTTGTCAATAAATGTGAAGAAACTTTAAAGTGAGCTAGTAAAAGTGCAATTAAATAACATCACTTTTAAAGTCATTCATCCTAATAATATTCGAATAGCAACTTGTTGAATGTCGCCGTTTTATACTGGTTTGTGGTAATTAAAAATGTAGATAAATTGTACAAATAAATAAACTAATTCTTGCTTTGAGAATAATATCTGAGTAACATGTGTCACTTAAGCTATTCAAACAACCCTTTGGAAGAAGTTCTTAATCACATTTCCTAATTTAAATGACTTAAATATAAAAAAACATTAAGAAAGATGTGTTTGTTGCAGGTCAATGTTTGTTTGCAGAATGGAATCATATTACATAAAACTCCCTTTTCACTGTCCACACACTAACCCGTATCATTACGATAGCACAAATTATACAGTGGCAAGGAAATTACCATGATGCACTGTAATAATAAAGTATCTCTTGTTGAAATGTCATGTGGTGGTTGACATGTGAGATGCAGTTTTAGGAAAACTATTATTAAGGCTGGTTTTCCGCTGGTAGGGAAAAGACCAAACATTAAAAGATATTGAGGATCAAGTTTGGCTTTGAGTGATTTCTCCCTTAGTGGACAGTTTTGACAATTTTACTTTCAGAGAGGATAAAAAAGGGTAACAGAAATCTAGGCAGCCATTGGACCTTGTTAATGCTCAAACTTCTGTCTGCCATTTAATGTGGTTCTTTGGTACCACCTATTGAGGTAAATTGGACAAAAGAGAACTTTTAAAGTAAACTGACAAAAATAAAGCATCTACAAATATATACAACAAACAGCTTTGTTAGTAAAATGCTCACATCAGTATGCTTTTACTGCTTTTTAGCAGATATAGGACATGGTCAACATCTTAGTTTAGAGTTGCTTCTTAGGAATAGATAGAATTGTTGTTTAAAAAGCGGTTAAATAAAATGGCTAACCAGCCTTTTCAAAAGGCAGAATAAGGACAACTTTCTTAAGAAAGAAAGTGGCAATGGTAGACAATACAGAGAGTTACAATGGGAAACCTTCTCTAACAAATTCAAAACACTATTCACACAACTCACACAGAGACACACCAGCACACCGGTTTCACGCTGACATCCATGCAGACAGAGAGGGTTGCTGCAGCTTTCCTCAGCCCGGCATGCAGGCCCTGATTGGGGATTGGAAGCACCTGGAGGGAGACAATCAGTGGAAGAGGAAGAGAGAGAGACAAACACATAAACACACACACATCACAGCAGTTTTGCAGCAAGTTTATCATACCCAAAATGCTCAACAAAGTAAACATTTGCCCTGGTGGTGGAGATGGATGAAAAGTCAGGGGAATGCAGAAGATACACAGATTCATCCTCTGGGCACCATGAATATCTGCACCAAATCACACACAATCCACTGCTGTTGAGATATTTCAGTGTGAACCCAAGTGGTTAACTGACTATCCAACAGACAGCACATCCAAAACTATTATGTGTTAGATACAAACACTATTGTTCATTTTCTTTGGGTATGGAGATGTATGATGTATGCTGCACATTTCATTTTAAGTACAAATGATTTCAGAATGATTAAGTTACACAGAGAAACCGCCACAGTAAAAACCCTTCTCCCCCTCTGTAATAAGACGATCTGTCTGTTTTGAACCAGGCTTCAATATGTGGTGTAGCCACATTTACAGCATCAGCACATTCTGTTTCAATACCTCATTCCAGTGTGTTTCCTGTGAAAGATTAAACCTTAAATGGAAAAATAAAAAAGACTGTTACCCACTCATCCTTAAATGCTTTCTCTTGCAGAATTCTAGAACATGTGTCTCTTGTTGCAAGCTGAGGCTTTAACTGTGTGGTGGAAATAAAGAGAGCAAAAGGGAACTGTTGAGCGTTGGTTTCACGAGAAACTGATGAAAGTTTGTGTATTAAAAACATTACAGATTAAGGCTGCCTCTGCACTTTTAATTGACATATTTAGGATTAGAAATGGGTTTGGGTGTGAAATAAGACTGTATTTAGCAAAAGGATTTATTTAGGATTAAGAATTGTATATGATTAAATGGGGGAGTTATGGCATAATGGTTAGGAGTTTTAGTTGCAATTCAATGTACATTCAATTCACAAACCTGGACCCCCCTTGAAAATGTTATCAGTCTATTAAATAGCTGTTATCAGTTGTAATCTGTACCATTCTTATTCTTCAAACAAGGCAAAATGTGCTAATTTAACATCATTGTTATGTCACTTAAGGTAAAATGTGTATTTCTGAACTTGCTGTGAGGTCTATAGTACAGCCTATGTTTCTTGTTTATCTTGTAACCTACAGTAGGTGGTTGGCCTCCAATATAGTTAAATGCCATGTCATCACTGTAGTATTTTTCATTTTACACCCATGTTTAATTATGCAGTTGAGAGGAGGGAGATGAGGGCTTCTATAACTCCTACTACTTTGTCACTCCTTTAATCCAAAACTCCAAACAGCCACACCCTAGACCGGCAGTGAACTTTGTAGATTCCTAAATTAAAATCACCTGTGATGACAACAGAGAAAACATAGCCAGTTTCAAAGTCACTTTGCTCCGGTTGCTCACAAGCCATGCATAACGAGGAAGCAGGTTTATTCCTTTCCTTGGAGCAAGCATAAATTCCAAGCTCTGACAAGGCCATATGCTTTTGTCGTACTCCCAAACCTTTATCTTTGCACTTGTAAATCATATGGCATCCCCTGTTCTTTCAGATAATCAAACATCAGAGGCTCTTAAAGCAAACCTGTTTAGAAAGGAAGAGAGAAGTAATAAAAACATAAAAATGGACACATCTGTCACGGAACAAAGAACATCTGCGCTGATGGTAACAGGCGTTCCCTTTTCATTGAGAGGCATTGTGAGCTGTGGCAGAGCTTCACTCCGAGGAAGTCATTCTGAGCCATAACTCTGTCCTCGTCCACACCAGCAGACAAAACCTAATAAAGAGTGCAGGAGCTGGGGTTGGAGAACTGCCGGAGTGTTTTTAACAGGCTGTATAATGGACTGTGGTTGTCTTCACCAAGCATCTGTTGGACCTCGTGTTTTATGGTCTCATCCAATGTGTCTCCAGTGAAGCTTGGAGAGCAGAGGCCCCAAGAGTCAAGGCAGAGTGAACGTCTGCTCGCTTTATTTCCTCTCTATGGAGATCCAAGTTCCAGCTAGCAAAGTCATAAATCAGATCTGTGTGTGTGTGTGTGTGTGTGTGTGTGTGTGTGTGTGTGTGTGTGTGTGTGTGTGTGTGTGTGTGTGTGTATGTGTGTGTATGTGTGTGTGTGTGTGTGTGTGTGTGTGTGTGTGTGTGTGTGTGTGTGTGTGTGTGTGTTTGATCTTGTTCTTTGGTCATGCTAAACAATGCTTAACATGGCATTATGTGCAAAGGTATGTTTGTGAAAGCTAAACTTCACCCAGTCTTAATGCTAAGCTAAAGTGGAATTGATCTTGTAATTTGGTCCTTGAGCATATGTTCCAAAATGACATACTATTCCTTCAAGGTTCATAAATAATCGCTAGCAATCAGTAAGGAGGAAAACAAAAGTCCATATAGCAACAGACTAACATTCCCAAGCTTCATCTTTACAAACTGGTCACGTAACGTTATAAATCATAAAGTGTATGATACACAGTCAGGTCTACAGTGTCAGCAGCACACAGCAGTAAACACATACTGTATGTCCCTGATTTACTGTGCACACTGGGGCAGAGGTCTCAACTAATGGAATATTTAATGTATCCATGACCGACACTTTAATCTGCGTTGAGACCTCCAGCTTGCAACTTTATCGTATAAATCTGAGATACACTGTACAGCCCAGACTGTGAGTTACAGCATATAGACCCTCTGTGTATACACATAGACATGAT